GTTACAGCAATTAAAGTGATGAAAAGTGCACATTCATCCCCTATATGACTCTCATTAGAGTTACACCCAACTGCTGTTGCTGCAGTGAATGAGGCTGCTTATCTCTTAGCATCCAATTATCCCATAGACATTCCCTACCAGTGCTGGGAAAAGCCCTGCTATCACCCCCACTCAGACAAGACCTATGGTTAAGACAAAAGTCCTGAAGCCTGCTGCGGTTTAGTTTTCTCTCCCGGAATTTATGGCCTGTTATTTCTTTTTCCATGTTCTTAAGGTCTAAGAATATTTATGGTCTCTCCCCGCTGGGGATTCTTGCTACCAGTGTAATTACATAATGACACTACATGGTTCCAGCTCATCCATATGGGTGCAGGCAGTGACCTGTGCTAGTGCAAGTTAAACTGTTTCTTCTATCAGAAGATTTTTTTTTCTGTCTGATTCTTGCCTCACGTTTGCCTTAAAATACTGAGGAAGCGTTTGGTCGGGATATGCTCTTAGCTACTTGCTTAGAACTACTTGAAAAGTGGAAATGTTATTTTACTGACTCCTTCCCTCCTGGGCATTTTCACACCTGGGGAGGGATGCTTACATTAAGCAAGGAGGGAAGCTGCTAACATGAACTTCATCAGAACCTAGGCTGGCTCTGAGAGGGAGGGCACAGCCCCACAGCCAACTACAAATGGGTAGATTTTTTCTAATTCCAATGAGTAAATTGCAAAATTTTTCCAGACGAGTCCTGGAGGTCCGTCCATCTCCTCATGGTTTAATGGTATGCAGACCTTAGTGGAAGCTGAAATGTCCGTGTTGCTCCATGGGCAAGGCCTTAGATTCCAATGATAAAAACAAACTGTTATTCTGTGTATGTAGAGTATTTTATGTGTCCATAAAATACTCTACATAAGCAGAATAATTCATGTATATCTCAAGGAATTTGCTAAACTTCCTAAGCCATGCCACAGCCTTGTGGCACCGTTTACTTTGCTGTAGTCTGAACAGTTTTAACAGAGAGGACTCCTCATGAAGTTTATACAAATGTTGCATCTAGACACACTTAATGATTTTACCTTATGTGTTTTATTTTCTGAATTTTTTTATATAACCAACACATACACTTCTGGCAGAACACAGTCCCTGAATACACAGAGATCGGCAACCACAGCATTTTGTTCTCAGCTTTATCCTGTAAATCCACTATACCATTTGCTTTTGCCCCAGTGAAAATGCAAAACTTGGCCCTTATATAAAGACTGCTAAAAGGCCTCTCAATCTGCAAGCTATCCTTCTGCTAATGAAGAGATTAACATACCTCTCAATGTCTAGAATTGTTCTTGCTGTTTTGTAATTTGTAACCTCGGGTCCTCTCCACCTCATTGTGTTTTCAGTTCCTCCCCCTTCTTCTATGCAAAGAAAAAGCTTTCCACGTACTAAGAGCAGGAACTTTCCTGTTAGCTGCACAAAAGCAAGACTGCTCCATTAAGAAGAAATTTAAACCTCTTTGTATAAATTAAGTTTGCTTTCTATTATTTTTCCCCTAGAACCTGCACAGAACAACATGCCTTTGAAAGGAAGAATATATACAGTGTCAAGCTTGCAAGATAAGCTTAGGAGGGCTCTGCAGTGTGTTTTTCCCTCCTCCCCTGCCCCTTGCCCCAGAGAACTACCAGTTTAACATCACACGAGGAACACAAGGACTCATCAGATGATTTACATATGCTTAGAAGCAGCGCTTTCTCTGTGTGTTATATGAAATTATGCAACAGTATATAAAAAGTATAGGTCAAGAAAGTGAATCCATGAAGCTAGAGACTGTACAAGCCTACAAATGAAACCTGGGCATGTTCCCATATTGACCATCCACCTTCTGAAGCGTTTTGAGCTGATTTTGTCCCGAGGTCCTCACTAGCTTTGGTCATCCTGGGGTCAAAGGTCTGGGGAGTAAAAACTCAATGGCTCATTTGCAGGTGGCCGCACAGTAAAGGGATCCATACAATGAAATGAGACACATTATCTAGCTGTGGGTGACTCAGTTAATACCATTTGCAACAAACACACGAAATACTCCTAACTCATAGCCTTGGAAAACTACCTGTAAAGGAAAGGCATATGTTCATGCTAAAAAGTAGCTATGTGTTTGGGTGAATCAGGTCTCTTCCAAATTAAGTCAGTGTGAGTGACCAAAATCAGTTGCAAAAAGCTGTCAGAAGTGTTTTGGCAAGGAGTTTTCCTGTTGTGAAGCTCCCACCGTGTGACAACATATTAGTCAGGCTCAATGCATGCCTTCTTTCTGAACTAAACTTTTGCCTTAACTCAAAGCACATGCCTTTAAAACTATATTTATTTAAAAGCTGGTTTTAAGTCTCCTCCTTACAAAGGGAAATTTGGAAAAGCACACATGAACCAGTGTAGCAAGGTGACAAGGGTTACACAAGTCCTCCTTGTGAATAACAACTTTGAGAGCTATAGACTATTTCATTCATCTTAATGATTATTTAATCTTGGAAGCTGACAGTAAGTTCTTTGCCTACAGCATATTGAAAACTGACAGAGAGAGGGCATAGTAATGAGAATTTAATAGCAAAATAAATAATACAGAAGCTACTTCACTGATTGCATTATTATTATCCTGCTGCAGTCAATAAGAAAGCTGTGCTCCCAACACAGGCGAGAGGAGCAGGGCTTCCCCCTGAGCACTACAGGTTTGCAGCAGGAAACACGTGGCCTTGGACAAGGGACCAGCCCCGGCTGACCCAGGGTGGTGAGATTGGAAAGGCGGCCTGCACGCTTTCCCTCCACCAGTGCTCTCCCCACTGGCCGTGAGCAGAAAACAAATACCACTCCCAGATGTTTTACAGCCCCAGTCTCAAGGGCATGACTTATCGTTTCACTACAAATCATTGAAATAAAAATAACTGCAAATTGAATCATTATCTCTCTGTCTCAGAGGGCACTGCCAAGCCTCCAGCACCCAGCAGATGAAGAAAGCCTCCTTTCATGGTATCTGGCAACCTACCTTCCCCTTTGTTCTGAGCCTCTAGAGCTGTGTGACAGGCAAAAACTGTTTTGGCCTTCCAAGGCTCCTAACTTGCCTCTACCAATTACCAACCATCCAAGTTCTGTGGAGAGATCAGCATTAGTGATATTATCTGCAAGCTCCATGGCAAAATGTTCTGCACATTAAATTGCCCAAGATCACCAAAGCTGGTTTATCACAGTAGTGCTTCCCTAAGGTTAGCTGGGATTGACCTGCAGGACTGTTGACCTGGCACTATTACTAGAAAATATATTCTAGATCTCAGCTGATGGAATACAAATCAGTATAATTCCCAGTACCAACCCATGTGGGACTGACTGGTTTTGATTGCCTGCTGAGACTAATACAAAACAATGAATGTTCATATGTTGTTATATTGCTTTTCAACAGCTACCACTCTTTCAAAGATGATATATGTTTTGCAACATATGTATTATCCTATCCATCTCTCTCCCTCATGTTTCCATTTATTCCATTGAATCTTGTTTGTAGGTTTTGGACCAGAATTTGGTATTGGAAAAATTATTGTCTGTGACCACAATATTTTCACCACTTCTGTGAGGTCTGTAAATCTAGTCTTGAGGCTGTTGCAGAGTTTGACTTTCTTGCTCCTTTGTCTCCATAATCACTCTCATTTGTATGGATTTGCTCCTGACAATCTGTGAGACAAGTACAAGAGCAGGCCACTTTTATTCACATGGACATGCTGCTCCTCTTTAAAAGTCTCTCAGCCTTCAGAATCTCCAAGAGAGTGACCCATCCCAACCTCCTTCAACCAGAAGGATTTGGCATTTGTTGGCAAAATCCAGTGAGGATTAGTCTGGCCACCAAACTGCTGCACTAACAAACACTCACTCTGCCTTACATCATCTCTAACATTTTAGTCTAGATTTCAAACTCTCCTTTGGAAAGAAGGGTAAGTCTCAAATACTAACAACGTGTGTTAAATACATATACCAAGAATATAATGTACTGGGTACATGGCAAAAAATATGCCTGATCACATATGGTGTCTGAAAAGTTAAAAAACAGACATTAACACTTACAAAACAAGAGCTCAATTAGAATAAAGGTTTACCAAACTCGACTTTTTCTAACATAATATAAAATCTAGCAATGTTGTCTCTGACATACAAGCTAATTCTGTACTTCATTTTAGCATAGCAGCCCAGTGTTCCGTTCCTGACCTGCCAGCAGTGTGAATTCACCTGCCTCACAGCAACCCATCCCTGAAAAGACTGTACAGAGTCAGACAGCCCACCTTCCATTCTCCAGGGTATTTCTAAAAGGCAAACCACTGGGGCCTGCTTAACATTCGGGTCTCCTGCAGCCTGCTGGCACTGTGCTCCCTGCCGAGCATCTACAACCCTCCCTGTGCCACAGGTTTCTTCAGAGCCGGACACTCAAGCCGGACAGAGAGAGAGATGCTCACAGCATACTTTAGAAAACTCCTATTTAATTCCGCCCATAATTGTAACAGACAACGCTGGCACAGGCAAACCACACGGCTTGCAAACCTGCGAGGAGACGCTTCCCCAGCAGCGGGAAGCCCCATCACGACCCCAGCTGTGCTGACGGGGCCAGACGGGGCAAGCGGGAGCGTCCGGCCCCACTCGTGTCCTCCCCCGCACACACGCTGCGGCTTCCCCGCGCCCCTTCCCGCCGCGGCAGCGGGAGCGGCGCCTGGAATCAGCCTGCGAACGGCAAAATAATCCTGTTTCCTCAAGAACATACTCGCACATACGAGCGCGTGTATATATGTGCGTGGGCATGTACGCGGCTCGCCAGCTTCGGGGCCTGGCAGGCGATGCCGGGGGCCGCAAGGCTTTGGGGAAACGCCGCGACCCCGGCGCAGCACCCGGAGCGGCGGTGGGCGGGAGAACGGCGCTCGGCGAGGGGAGGGGGCGGCGGGGCCGCGCCGGCCCCTCGGTCCACGGCAGGAGGAGGAGATACCCCGAGCGGCAGCCCAATGGGAATTGTGGCGCTTCCCCTTCTCCCGTTTCCTCTCTCCACCCCCAGCCCCAGGCCGGGGAGGCGGGAGGCGGCAGCGCTGCAGCCCGGCCACCGGCGGGGCACGGGGCCAGCGGCAGCCCCGCACGGCCCCTTCTCCGCCTCCGCAGAAACACCTGCGGGGGGAAGGATGCCGGGAGGCGGCCGCCCCCCTCCGCGGCAGCGCGGGCTGGCTCCGGAGCCGCCCCAACCAGAAGGAGGAGGAAGAGGAGAGGAAGAGAAAGGAGCGGGAGGGAAGTGGGGAAGTTGTGCCTCGGCCGCCCCGCCGAGAGCCGGAGCCATGGGCCCGGCCGGGGGGGCGCGGGCCGCCCCCTCGCTGCTGCTCTCGCTGCTGCTCGGAGCCTCGGCCCCGCTCTGGCTGCGGGCGGAGACGCTGGGTGAGTGCGGGGCCGGGCGGGGAGGCTCGGCGGGCGCGGCCCCGGGGAGCGGGGGGCGAGCGGAGGGCTGCGGCGGGCTGCCCCCGCCGGCCTCGCCTCCTGCTCTGCCCGAGCGTAGCCTGAGCTGCTCTCGGGGCTGTATATAGCTGACCTGGTTAATCCTCGCCGGGTTTATCCCTGTGTCTGAGTAGCTGCGAGATTAAAGTGGTAACCAGCCTTACGGTAAACGTATACTACGACTTTCTTGGTATTTGTTGATTAGGACTTTTTTTTTTTCTTTTACAATAAGTCAGATAAGCGGCGAAAAAGTCTCGGGAAAGTTGCGTGCCGGGGAGGCCACCTGGGCGCCCGGCTGTGGCCGCGCCTCCGCAGCCCCGGCGGGAGCCCCGGGCGCGGCGGGCGGCACTGGGTCAGCGGCAGCTCCGCGTCTGCTCCGGCGGCGCCGGGGCCGGCAGTCCCGTCCCGCAGCCGCAAACGGGCAGCTCTGCTCTCCCGCCGCCTCGGGGAGAAAGTGTAGTGCCCGTACTCGTGTCGGGACAAAGTTTCGTAGGGATCTCGAGGGGATGTTCCGAGCCTTTTTGTGGTAGTGCAGTTTGTTGCGAATAGAGTGCGGGTACCGTTCTCTTTGCCCCGTGTTTCTAAGATTCCTGTGTAAATTACCAGTGCAGCTGACATCTCTGCCCGCGGAGTTGCAGCCCCTTGGCTGTTGCATTGCGTGGCCTGATGCATCCGTCTTAGAGGACTTCACTGGCAGCTACCGATAAAATACTGGCAACTAAGCATCATAATGAGCTTGACAGTGCATTCAGACAACTTAGAAATCCCGTACTAATGTTCCGAGTTGGCTGCAAATTCCAGAACCCCGCGCTGTGCATTAGCTCTATACCGGCATTGGCATTATATACAGGCGTTGGCAGAAAGTACTTCGGTTGATTTATACCTGTTCTTCCCATAACCTCCTATTAACAGAGGTTTCTGATACGGCTCTCCACAAAAGGGAGAAGTTGGTATGAGTCGTGTTGCCACTTGCCAGTTTCTTGGTAGCTTTGCTGTTTTGTCCTCCATGAGCTGGGATTCCAATTTGATATGTTCCATGAAACATACGTAGCAAGGAAAAAACCATTCTCTTAATCCCCTCTTTTCATCAGTATGTTGAGGGGAGGGTTTTTTTGTTTGTTTTCTCTTTCGCCAATGCTTATTCTTCACTCAATGGCACCAGGGAGAAGAAAGTCAAGTGAGTAATAGTAAGTCTGCTGGGATTTCAGGGGTTTTTTGTGCATACAGTGACACAGTAGTACGTATGAATGTCCCATCTTGTCCATATTCCCAAATTAATTGGTAAAAGCACTTTTGTTTTATTCATGTTAAAAATGTTTCTACTATCAAATCAACAGAATGGAAACACAAGTACTATTCTGCCTGGTTCTCTTTGGACCAAACTCAGATTTACAAGATAATCTGTTCAGTGTCTAGAAAGCAGGAAAGATGTTGCTTCTCCCCCACACACTTCATTTCTCCACGGGTGGAAGTTCTTCTGTGTTTGTTTATTAGTATTACCCTGTAAATTAAGGGCTAAGTGTTCTAAAGTCACACCAGTGGAGAAAGGAGATAAGGATAAGTGGATACAAACTTCCTGTTACACAAGCTTCTTGACTTGATTTAGAAGTTGTAATGGAGCAGGAGAAGAAGTGCCAGAGTGAATCAGGCTCGAGTTTCAGATAATTCTGTATCTCGTCACCGCTGGTGTTTCCCACCAGCTGGTTCAAAGAAAGGTTTAAGAATATTGAATTTAAAATATCCATTTTAAAAAATGAAGCATTATATTTTTCTGACACCTCATGAGCTGACTTTACCTTCCTCTTAACTTTTTCTTGAGGGGTGCTACAGAACAAGGATGAAAGGGCTGTTACTGCTTCTGTTCTTTTACTATGGTTTCAAATTAAGGAAAGACCTCTTTTTTTCACTGTGGCTTGGTTATTTCAGAGATTGACTTGTATCTGAGTGTGGCTGTGTAGAGTCCAGATATCAGAACTCTTTCTGTTCTTGAAAACATGTTAAATGTGTATGTTGTCCGAGGCATCTATGAATGTGGAATTTTGTTGTCCATAAAATGATAAGAGATGCTGTGGATCAAAGGAAACTATTTTAATTAAGAAATATTTATAGGCTTAGTAGGTCTCACCTGGGAACAAATATTCCATCTATGACTGTCCATGAGTAACATATAGCTTTGGGATTTATAATAAAAGGTGGTTCTTTTCTCTTTTTATTCTGCTGTACACCAATCTTTTGGGGTTTCAGTTGCCAGTTCTTTACTGACAAGTAAAAAATATACCTTTTTCCTTGTCTGCCAACCTCACACAGCCATCCCATATCCTGGTATCTCTTCTAAAAATCTCCCCCAGCAGTTAAATATCAAGGCAGAAGGGAGCCAAACTTGAACACGTTATCTTGGCCTCTCACCATTCCTTGTCTTTTCTTCTGGTGTTGTTGAGCAAGACCTTGAACCATGTAATTGTGAGCAGCAGAAATCAGAATTTTGACTCATTTTCTATCACATTTCTGGCCAGTAGGACTTAAAACTGACCCGAAGGTTGTTTGGTTGTAGGAAGGCATAAGAGGAACAGGGATTTTAATCTATTAAGTACAAGATTTAAGCCACTGCTCTTGCTGTACCTCATTTATTTTCACTTCAAATAAAACACAGCTATGAAAACTAGTTCATGTGGGATTTGCAGATCAGCATCCAGGAGTGAGCTTTGCTTGCTGTGTTCCTGGGTCTGTTGACAGTGGCACCCAATGCCCAGTTGGAAGGATCGATGGGGAGCAGACTTTTATATGTTTTGAGGGAAGGCTGTTATTCGAAGTGACAACAGTGTATCCAGTAATTACCAGAGATTATGCCTGTTCTCAGGGGCTTGCACAAAACCCTTGCTGAGGAATACTGGTGTGATCATGCTAATCCACTTTGTATGCCCATTTCCAGCAGTTTGAAATGCAGATCAAGATGAGTCTTTCTTGTACCCAAACCCCCGCCCCCCGCTTCAGTTTCTGAATATAAGTGATTGGTAAATTTTCAGTTTGTTTGCATTTTGTCCTTATGTCTGTTTCCTTCCTTGGCTCCCTCTCTCTTGCCTTGGGAATGCTGACTAGAATTGCTAAAGAGGGAGGCAACAGTTTTCCAGTTGCAGTTCATAAGCAATGCAAGTACCCACCACAAGAAAACTGCAATGTTTTCAGTCACACAGCCTTTGCTATAAATAGCTGTAAGCTCTTCATAAGTACTTCACTTTAGGTTATCAGGGGATGTATTTCAGACAAAATCAAAGACAGGGAGGGCAGCAGGAGTCTCTGACAACGCGGGGAGAAAAAGATGCTTTGGGAAAGTTGTTACCTGCATGGCTGTTGAGTCATATTTCATGCAAATTATTTGTTGATTTGCATATGCAAAAATATATTCATTTATATTTATCACATATCAGTGTCACCTTTAGTCCACCTGAGTTTCGTGGGTAGCACAGTAAAAAGCAGCTTGAAAAAATACCAATTTTGAGGACAGTCATACTACTGTATAGAGATGCCTGAGGTACCTTTTCAAAAGTATCTTAGATTCCAGGACTGGTATAGTTTTGAAAGCCCATCTGAGCTCTCACACCATGCTGAGAAGTGTGGTCCTGTGTGGTGGCAGGCACTGAAGTCCTCAGCACAGGCATCGCTGTAGTTTGGGGCTGGCTGTATCGGATCAGATGCTCTCCTGTGGCATGTACTCATCAACATATGGGTTTGCACCATCTGCTAAGAATAAAACAAGCCAGACAAAATCAAAATAAAATCCTTCTGACTGGGTTAAGTGGAATGGTGTTGGATCCCAACTAACTGCAATAAAATGTATTAATAGCAATGCATAAGAATGAGCGCACAACTTCCCCAAAAGGTTTAATTAGTGTTACAACTGGGAGTGGGAAACTTCAAACTGGGACAAGCTAATAGTGATGCTTAAATAAAAAAAGGATAGTGGTTTGACTAGTTTTAAGAGTATACAGATACCTTCATTTTTGCTTTCAAAAGAAATTACAAATTATCTAATTAAACTGATTTTGGCCTGTGAAAATTGTGTGAGTGCTAAAGCCACAACTTTGAGGTTGGCTGTATGCTCGTACATAGAGAGAGGCTGCCAGTAGTTTTGGTTAGGATTGTTGATGCTGTATAATTAGGCCTGGGAGCTGAGTGTTTTGAGGAGAGGAAGCATTTTGGTCTTTCATTGCCGCTCCCTGTCTCTCCTTTTGACAGAGCCAGGACTTGCCTCTCAGCAGTTTCCTTCCAAGACATGAAGGCTTAGTTTGGTGGTGGTGGTACTTTCTCATCCTCTTTGAGCAAGGTTTCCTGTCCCACTGGGACCATATTTGTGATTTCTGTTTCTCTGATGGGATGGGGCTGCTGTCTGATGGCAGCTCCATTCTGCTCCCCCACACAGGCACAAAGAAGGATGAGGGCACCCAAGCTGTGCAGCTTTTGCCCATCTCCAAATAGCTTCAGTGGCGGTGTTTTCCAGCCAACCATAACAGGGACAGGAGAATAAATGGGGAAAGCAGAGCAGGACAAGGCTAGAAACCCAGTCCCCAGGCCTCCTACAGGACCAGGGTGTTCATTTTTTATATTTAGTATCATGCATTTCAGCCTGAGCTGCATCTGTAATTACGTTAGTGTTCATCAGGCATTTAGTTAAGCTCTAAAACATTGTTTCTTCCTTCAGTTGCTGCAGAAACCTCATATCCATCACAGTTTTATTCCATGATGTTTGAGTTTCTGGCATTTCCACCACAAATTGTTGAACAATATTGGATTTCAGTCTAATGCTTTGACATTAAAGTTGAAGTCATGTTGATGTCATCTTCCAGATGTTCCTGTCCACTGAATAAAAATTTTGTTTGTTTGTTTTATTTCAAATTACAAAAACACATGGGGAATTCTGGATGTGATCCCTCATGCTATACAAAGGC